AGTTTTCCACCTTACCCTAGAGAAAAAGCAGCCATAACAATATGTAAGTGAATAGGCAAGTCTCTGTTCCAATAAACTTTATTAATAAAATAGATGGCGGCCTGGGCTGGATTTAGCCAGTAGGCTAGTTTGCCAATGCTGTAGGCAATATTGTTAACTCTATTCTAGGGGCATGAGATGTATTGGCTTATTTATTTCTCAGGACAATGCTGTGCAGTAGGTCTTAATGTCAGTCCTAGAGGGAAAATGACTGGCGCAAAGTTGCATGAGTAATAAATGACCCTGAACCAAGTCTTGAACCTAGGCAACCTAACTCCAGGCTTACATTCTTAGTGAGCACGCCACACAATAGTACAGTGTGCTGAAATTCACACACACACACACACACACACACACACACACGAGGTACAGGTAACAAGGGTCTCTCATAACCATCTAGTCTATAGACAGTATACCAGAGTAAGCAAAAGGAAAAGAAATTTACCAAAGGAAACTGTACGGTTCCATCAGAGTTTTAGAAAAGAGAGAAAGGAAAATGTCCACTCCCATTAATAATGATGAGGGAGAGCGATAAGCAGAAAGAAGGGTTTTCAGAGGATTTTGCAACAGAGGTCCCTGCTGTGGCGGCTGAAAGGACACATTGTCTCTCAGTAAGTGAAAATATTAGTAAAAATGATGAAACTGTCGCAATGCACAGTCTCTTGCACATCCTGGCAACACAGTTATTGTATTTGTGGGCACAGAGGGCCAAGCGGGAGAAGCTGCCCCTGTAGATCTTGGGCTGCCAAGGCCCTGCCTGCCCCAAAAGGCTGGAGAGACCTGTGAGTACAGGCTGGTAAACTCTGACCCAGGTGGTCGAGGCGGCCCTGGGTAACGTGCCCCCATGTTGTGTGACTTCCTGTACCCAGGCTCACAATGCTGGATTCCCAAGGGGGTTCAGCGTTTTAAAACAATGTATTTTTTTCTAGCTTTCGCCATTCTAGGACAAAACCTAGACACGTTCAGTCTGTACAAAGAAGTTCCTCAGGGCTCTGGAGGCAATTTCCAAAGAGGCCTCAAGGAACAAAGGCAACCAGAGCTCCTAGGTCATCAGGACACTCTCAAGACGTTAATTCCCAATTGGGAAAGCTGCCTGCTGGCATTTTACTTTAAAGAAAAATTGTGACCCAGAACACACTCACACACACCAGAATTCCAAGTATAGACAGGTCAGTGCTTTTTATCAGCTTTAGTGAGGTTTTGAGTAGACCTCCGATAAGCACCGAGGTATCTTTTCAAACTGAAGGATGTAAAACATTAACAGAGAAGTGAAGGGAAATTACAGATCATTTGAGAGGCGGTGCGGCCTTGTAGAAGCCAGACTTAGTGCTACACAATCAAGCTTTGTTGTGCTGTGGTTACCATTTCTGAGGGACTAGGAGACCCTCCTCACAAGCCAACACGCTCGACCAAGCGCAGCTCTGTGCACGCAGCCTTCCAGCTTCTGTTTTCTGTTCCCGAGTCGTCTGTGTTTCTCTCCCAGAATCCTCACCTCCCTCAATCTATTCTTTCATCCATCTTGCCCCCCACAGCCCCACTGATTATTGACCATGTTTTTCCTAAGGGGAAAACCTAGCAGAACCAGGACCAGAGCACAGCTGAAATTGTAGGTTGGGAGAAAAGCAGAGCTTTGGGGCCACACACAAGAGGCTTACGCCCCATGCCCAACATTTACTAGAACCGGGATCCTGGATAGGTTAACTCCTCACTGAGTATCAGCTTTTTAACTGTCTGGGGGGGCCCGTATCTGCTTTATAGGTTATGCTGGGCATTAAATGATATTGTGAACTGAAGTACCCAGAACAAGCAAAGTGCTCCCTGCTGTAACCCTGGCTACTGCTCTATGCTCATGTTTTTGGTTTTTTTTTTTTTTTGTTTGTTTGTTTGTTTGTTTGTTTGTTTTTTGTTTTTTTTTTTGTGGAACCGGGGATTGAACTCAGGCCCTTGCGCTTGCCAGGCAAGCACTTATTCTACTGAGTTATCTCCCCGGCCCCTGTGCTCATGTTTTGATGTAGTTTCACAAACATCCAAAAGTTTCCAACTTCCAGAAAAAGCTGTATTTGCTTGTTGATGCGAGCATAAACTGGCACACCTTTTACAGAAGACATTTAAGGCAGCCTGCTATTAAAAGTATGTATGTGTCCATCCTTTGACCTAGCAATATCACCTCTGGGAAACTGGCCTCAGATATACTTGTACACATTCAAAATGATGTATGCACAAAGGAATTCACTGAAAACTTGTTTGCAACAGGAAAAGGCTGGAAACAAATCAAACTCCTCAATAGGACACTGATTAAATCACATAATAGATTATTCTGCAGGTACAAAAAAGGAGAGAGAAGGCCTCTATATATCAGTATGCAAAAATCTCTAAATTCTTAAGTAGAAATCAAGATGATCAGAGGATAGAATGCATTGTTTGTCAATAATAAAGATGAGAAGGGGCCAGGGAGAAAGCTCAGTAGAATAAGCGCTTGCCTGGCAAGTGCAGGGTCTAGAGTTCAATCTCCCATACCACAATAAATAAATAAATAAATAAATAAATAAATAAATAAATAAGAAATACCATGCACAATACATGTAAAATCCTGGGAAGAATTTATGAAAAGCCCTAAACCAATAAATGTTTTTCCAGTGATTAGAGTGAAGCAAATAGTATGGATGAGATGCTGCCTACTGTTTTCAAATATTTTCACATTTTAAACTAAGTCTGCATTAAATTCCACTTTAATTAGTTGTATATTCAATAATCAGGACTACCACAAAGACATGCCCAGAACTAAAGACTCAGGCCAGGGACTTCTAGCATTTGAATCATAGTCCTGTTATATAATTTCTGTATGCAAGAAAATCCTATGCAGAGTCATTTTATAGGGAATGATGTTTGTTCTTCAATTACAAAGAGAAGTATTGGTCTAGTTAGGACCAAAATGCTATAAATGAAAATATGGGTGCTATGGAGTCATGCCCTGGGTACAAAGAACAATTCATACAACAGGGTGAAATTCAAGCCTCCTCCCATTGCCTAGGCAGCCTGGACTCCAACAACCTAGCGGAAATGTAGGTGAGAACAAACAAATGGTTATAGCTGTCAGTGGACTGGTACACATTAACCTGACAATGAACTTGGCGATAATTACCATCTATTTATTTTGTCCACATTCATGCTTAAGCTATTGAAACTCCAGAAGGAGAATTCTGCCACAAAGGAATGGCCTTTGTGTTAGGAAAGGCGCAGTAATTATTCATGTTAGCAGGCCATAATATTTTGAATTTGCTTCCACAAACGTAAGAAATTCCAGAGTCAACTAATATCCTTGGGAAAGCAAGGCCTCTTCCCTCAGCTATTTCAGGGCACTTAATAGAACTCTAAGTGTGGCCAGCCCGCATCAGGCAGCGTCAGCCCAGCTCTGCAGCTGGCTTCACTCCTGCACAGACCTCCCGGTCTTTCAGCGTGGGCGCAACCAGCGGGTCACAGCGAATGTCCCCACATTATCAGCAGAACAGATGATTCCCCAGCAGCCTAAAGGCTACTCAACTAGTAGCTCTTGACTGATTTAAATTTGAGCTTTACAAAAATATCTTCTTATTTTAGTGTCACAGGACTTTAGGGCTATAAGATACTCAAGAGAGAACAGAACCCATTATTTTATTTTTTATTTCCTATTGTTTTAACATAACCCGTTATTTTATGATTCTTCTTGCTCATAGGCCAATATTACATCATGTAAAACAGTTTTTTGTTTGATTTTAGTTTAGGTTTTGGTTGTTTTGAGACAAGGTCTCATTATATATGATTGAAGCCAGGCTTACACCCATTAGGTGGCCCAGGCTGGCACTGAACTTGAGATCTTCCTTCCTCAACCTTCTAAGTGCTTGGTTTCCAGGCATACTTCATCACATCTGATTATGTATTACAGGTTTTAAGCTCAAATTTCTAATAGGAAATTCAGTAAGGGAGATCCTATTGACACAATCCTGTCTATAGCATAGTTCATATATTTCAATTTCAACCCATGGAGTTTTAAGGTTGCTACTGTAAATTTAAAAGAATTTCTTATGAACATTATCTATTTCTACAGGAAGATACTGGAAACTTCTTCACAACTAACTAAATATTCTGCTAGAAATATTTCTAAAGTTGAATGTCCTGCAATTATTCCTAGCTTAAATTGGAAACAAATATAAATGACATGCTGTACTCTCATGTTTTACCTTACATAATATAATAAATGTAGTACTTATATATTACATGTACATTAGATATCTCAAATCATTCTCAATCCCCATTAGATACATGGTGACCCACTATAGAAACAAAAGCAATACAATAAATAAATTTAAGTACAGAAAGAATATTAATTACATATATTACTATAGCACATTACTATCATATA